TCTCCAGCAGTGGTGGTTTAATGGGAGAAACTATTATGGATTTCATGCAAACATATGAGAATATAATGATAGATGTATATAACTTACCTAACTAACCCAACTAACCTAACTAACAAAACTACTAATCTAACTAACCTAACTAACCAAACTACTAATCTGGCTAACCTAGCTAAGCAAACTAACCGAACTAACCTGACTAAACCAACCTGACTGAAGTAACCTGACTGAACTAACCTTACTAACCTAACTAAGCAAACTAATGTGCCTAATTTTAACTAAGAGACTCACCAACTAACTAACTAATCACTAACTAACTGATAATCAAACGTGGCAAGAAGATGGAAAAGAAAACTCCCTAGCAATAGAGGTTTATAACTTGGAAATTCATCATTAAATGTGGAAATATCCATTGCCAAAATTGATGACCAGAGGGTATCTCAGCCTGCAAATCTGCTGAGACTGATTGGTGGTTTCCGTTACCCCGGGGTAAACTGGTAAACACGCAAAACAATGTGGAAAAAAAACAAAACATGGGGAAAGTCGTTCGGAAATTTATCTACATTCATGGTGGGTGAAAACCCATGTTTTTTGCATGTTACTTTGGAGGGTGGCCGAAAACTGTGATGAACGAAGTTAATGTGAACGTTTGTCAAGTCAATGTGAACCTTTGTTCACCAGTCACCATGTGTTTTATTTTGAAAAATATTAAACATTAAACAATATTAAACATGGTTGTCAGTCACAATGTTTTTTTTAAAGCATTAGTAAACATGACATTTTTTTGGCTGTCACCAAGTATGACTTATTCTGGTTTTAGGAAATGTTCCAATCATTTCCAATCGACTCACTCAGGAAACACCATGACTTGTTTCGACTGGTGTTGCTTATGACAGGGCACTTGAAAGACAAAAAACATGGGAAAAAACAATGGTATAAACCATCCAGAATTTTGGAATATATGGGAATAAACCATGATAAACCATATGCATTCTAAATATGGCAATCAAAAAATAAGTATTCTGCAGTTTGTTTCGTAATGAATCATCAAAGTTGGTGAATGTTGTGTTGTCCCAAAATGATGATAAATTATGTCATAGTATATTTTTAATGGCAATGTTAATGGTGAAGCTTATTTTCTAGATTTATCCTCGGCCTTTTAGATCGTTAAAACCTCCAAAGTTGCGGCGTTCCTGCGGAACAAAAACAAGTGAATTGAAGTCTTATGGATATTACTGGGTTATGTTCATCTATGTCCAACTGGAGGCAACATTAAACAATACCGGTCGGATCATGTAAGGTATCTAAGATGTGCATACTCTTGGTAAGTTTTGCTTTGGAATCATCTTAAGGGTATAGTTTTTGTTCCCCTCATTCCAGAAATTCACGTGGTGACATTAACGCGATCCGCACAAGATCCTCAGTTTTCATGGGAATATTTCCACATGTTCAAACAAAGCCGGAGAATCCCGGATATGTTTGATGTTCCCTTTCCAAGCCTTGATGGGTTCGATCCGGGCATCTGCTGAATTTCCACGAATCAGGGGATTTCCCCCAAGTCGGGGAGCACTCCGTCAGGTACTGCGGCTCTGGACTTTGCAAGTTGGGCGGTGCCTTTCATTTCCGCGCCCTGGTGGAAGGGCGCGGATGGGGATGGAGGATTATTGTTTGGAAGGAACCATAAATATGGAGGTATTGTGCGGTTGAACCAAGCAACACCGGGGAACTTGAGCATCTACAATCTGGATTTCACCAGCACACAATAGTGCCTTTGGACATTAACAAAAAAGGAGATGTCATCAGTTCAACATGGTGGGCTTAGCCATGAAGAATCGATGTGTGATGGGCTGTGTTTGAACATGTGGTGGGCAGTGGTGGGCATCAAATTGCATGTCTTGGAGGGATGATGATGATGATGCCCCCGTTCGATAGCTAAGTTGGTGCAAATAACTCCAATAACTATGGTTTTTGTTGGTGACATATCTATAGTTTTCATGGGATTATAAACCAACAAACATAACTGGGGGGGCACCACTTTGTATTGTTGTTATTATATCATCAACAGCATGATTGGCTGTCTTTTAGGCCCATACAATGGATCCCCATTGATTGGATAGACCTGACATATGTTGTGACTAATTTCCTATGTGTAGTGCAGTGATGATGGAACCCCAGCCATCAATAATGGGATAGATGTGATGTCGACATATGTGGACCTCCATCTATTTGGTGAAATATCCATCCTTCAATGGTTAAGTTCCCATTTCGGGCTCTAGAACGATGGAATCCAAGCCATAAAAAATGGTGATGACTTGGGGATGGTTTATTACTAGCTATTAGCTATTAATATATATATATATCCCATTCATATACCAGAAATATCAGTTCAACTCCATTAAATCCCATCAACATATCCCATGAAATTCTATTAACTTCCTATGAAATCCTATGAACTTCCCATAAGCAAACGTGTTTCTTGGCTTCAATGTTCGCCCCGAAAAAAGTCACGCCCAGCGATCCCAGGACGTATTTGGAGTGGGACGACCCTGCAGGCCTACACCTTTGATTCCATGTGGTCGCGACCAGGTGCCCTGGTGAGATTTTTGTTGAGGATATCATGGTTGAATATCATGAGATATCTAGATAGTTACTATATATAACTATATATTTTGTATATATATATATTATGTATATATATATATTATGTGTATATATATATATTATGTATATATGTATATTGTATTATATATATTATGTATATATTTATAGATAGTTAATATTTAATATCTATAGGTAATGTAATAGATTATAATGTATAGATATCATGGGATATATGAGGGTTTCCATACATGGGGTATCCAAAAATGGTTGCTTTATTTCATGGAAAATCCCAAACGACAATGGATGATTTTTACAGGGGTGCCCCTATGACTCAGGAAACCACCATTGACTTCCCGATCTTGTGATGGTTGAACCCCCAAGTGATGTTTGAATCATTTCTTTGCATGTTACTGTGTAAATTATAATGACCTCACGTCGTTCTCCCGAAACCTGGAATGATGCTTAAATAAATGGGAAATCATCCCCAAATGGCCGAACTATTTAGGCTAGTGAAGTATTATAATTTACCCAGATGTTAGTTTTTCCATGAAGTCCCATTCTTTTCAGGCGAACTCTGCATAATATTCCATAATGCATCTTGCAAAACAGCCAGAATTGTCATGGTCAGAACGATCACAATGGAACACTGACACATTCAACAAAAATGAAGAACACCAAAGAAATCATGATCAATCATGCAGACATCTCAACAAATCTCAAACAAACAAAAACTCAGTGAAAAAAAACAGAAATCTCAGTGATCTCCGTAGAAATCTCTGATTTTGGTCGTCCCCCATGGGTCCCACTACGGGTCTCTCTCTCCGTTAAGGCGGTGAAGTCACCTGGGCATTGCAGGCCTTTGCCGTGCAAAGCCCTCGGCTTCTGATCCCCGCGGCCACTTAGACGGAGACGAGATGGGACTGTGTTGAAAGAGGCGAATTGTTCTTGAAATACCCTCTGGTAAACTAACATAGCTATTGAAAATGGCCATTCATAGTGGATTTACCCATTAAAAATAGTGATTATCCATAGCTATGATTTAACCATTAACAGTATGTCATCATTAACCATCATCATAACATTAGTATTAACCATCATCAACCATATAATAACCATATATTGACGATATACAAGGTGGTGCCCCCGTTTGATAGCTAAGTTGGTGAACATATAACTCCAATTTCACTATGGTTTCTGTTGGTGATATATCGAACTAGTTTTTGGTGAGGTCCCCTCGAGGGCGTCGTGCGTTTTTGACACGTTTTCATGTTTTTCTCACTGTCGCAACATCCTGGTCGTCTCACGTGCTGTCTTGTTCTCGTGTGCGTCGTTTCATTTTCCGCGCGTTTTGCTGTGTTTCTTGACGCTGTTGCGTTTATAGTTGCGTGTTGGCATGCCAGGGTTTGTTCTGGTGGGTGGGATGGGGTGGGGGGGTGGGGTGGGGTGGGGTGGGGTGGGGGTGGGTGGGGGGGGGGGTTGAGGGGGGGGGGGGGGATGATAACGTTCTTGTTTATTAACGTTCCTGCATGGGCGTTCTTGACACGCTGTTCACTTTTGCAAGTGATGGTTTGACACGCGTTTGTTCTTTGGATCTCATATGTTCTCCGAAGTTGGCAGTGGCGCTGTCAAGAAAAGAACGACTGTGTCTCACACCTGTCCAAAGCTTTGAAAGCAATGAATGCGCGATGAGGTTAAAAAAAAGTTACTTCGGAGACCCCTCTTGGAAGATGCATTTTTAAAACATTCACGAAATGCAGGTTTTAAAGGCGTTGTGCGTTCAAAAACGCACGACGCCCTCGAGGGGACCTTCCCTAGTTTTTTCATGGGATTATAAACCAACAAACATAACTTGGGGGGCACCACCTTGTATGATTTTCATTCTGGTTGGTGGTTTGGAACATGACTGGATTATGACTTTCCATATATTGGGAATGTCATCATCCCAACTGACGAACTCATATTTTTCAGAGGGGTTGAAACCACCAACCAGTACATATATATATATATAGATCTATATGTATATGTATATGTATATGTTATATTATTTATTTATATATCATATGCTCAGGACCGTAGGATATATATATATTATATTTATATATAGTTTTTTAAAAAACGACAGAAAGGGAATAGGAAGAACTGAAGCATGATGATGTGAGGATGTGAAAGGAATTCATGTGACGTCGGATCACCAGAGTTGGGCACCAACGTTACCCGCGTTCGGTCGCAGTTTCCCAGTCAATTTGAACAAGCATCATGTCCATTTCCAATATGAGTCCTTAAACGGAGGGTTTCCTAGAATGGGTTTTCCCTAAATCATCCATTTTTGTTTGGGATTTCCCATTATAAAGCCATCCCTTTTAGGGTACCTCCATTTATTGGAAACCCCCCAGGTGGATCACATGGTGAGTTTTCTCAGTATCCAAACTGAGAAAAGGTCGCCCTCTTCATGGCCTTCCAAGGCTATTAGCGCCCTGTTCTTCGAGGTGGCTTTTCCTTTTGCGGTGCCTTGGGCCATGGGTTTCCGGGCGACCTGAGCATGGGAAAACCTGCACAAATCCCTCTAGAAACCTCATGTTCCTCAAGCATCCTTGAAGTTCAGCCTGCATAGGTTCGGTTCATCATATTCCCATATATTCCCCATCGTTCCAATAGTGTTAACGATGGGTTATCCCCATTTTCCATCAATTTCAATATGTTCACATCCAAATGGTCTAGCCCTCGGCATTTCAAGTCGTCTTCAGGTAACCTCATACGGTGCAGGGCTCTTCTTTACCTTCATGGGCCTGTCCTTTCACACGGGCATCTACTTCCTGCAAGGATAAGCCCGGGCTTCAAGTGGTGCTAGGTGTGTTCCAAGGGGAATTGATTGAACCAAAGTGCCAGCAAAAGTGCCAGATGAAGATACGAATGTATATGAATGTGGCTAAACTCTGAGGGAGAATCACACTTGCGACATTGGATACTGTAGATGGTTTCAAAATCCTGCATTGGTAGGTGGTAAACATCCCGTTATCCCATTATATCTACACTGTGTGTCATAGAAATTTCAATGATTCGGCACAACTGATTTGGATTTCACCATCACCTGGGGAGCGACGACCCGCGAGGATTTGATTTCTTGTCGCAGTGGTGCCCGGTGTACTTCCTCTTCGCGCTTCATAAGGATGCGTCGTCCCCTGGCAGAGTCTGGGTGAGTGGATTCTCATGGATTCTCTGGGACTGTTTTTGTTTGAGTTTATTTTTTGGGTGCCTGGTAAGTCAACATAGTCATTGAACAATCAACTACCATGTTTAGTAGGTAAATCATCTAGTTCATGGGTCATGTTCCATGGCAAGCTGTTAAACGGAGGCTATCAGAGGGTAGCGGGTAGCAATTTTTGAAGATCCGGATTCTCCAAAACTTGGTAGCCAGATCATATAGGCGGACCATTTGTCATGGGAAAGGTGCTGACAAAAACCATGTGGAATTTGTCCCAATTTTCAGATGTGGATTTTGCCATCAAAGACATGTTTTTTTTTTTTACCCGTGGGAGGCGCTAATTCTGTTCCCCCAATTCATCTGGATGGTCCCAAATGTTGTTGGATTTTAAGTTCTAAGTGTGATATCAAGCTTCAAGGCAAACATATATCTGGTTGGTGGTTTGGAACATGACTGGATTATGACTTTCCATATAGGGAATGTCATCATCCCAACTGACGAACTCATATTTTTTCAGAAAGGTTGAAACCACCAACCAGGAAATGTATATATATTATCTTATTTGTATAAATATCATATATCATACATATATCATATATATATATACAAATATATACTTCAGGAGGAACAAAGTTTATGCTTCTTGACAGCTTGACAAAGCATCCATCTCGGTCAACCGCGGATCACATTTCCAAGTCCATTTCGTGTGGCAGGTGTGGGACGGTCAATTATCACCCGCTTTTAAATCTATAAGATTAAAAGCTTTTGGAGGGTGGAAATTCGACCGGGGTACGACAAAGCTCCATGCTAAGCTTTTGGAGGGTGGAAATTCGACCGGGGTACGACAAAGCTCCATGCTAGGATTTTGGAGGGTGGAAATTCGACCGGGGTACCCAATAGGTCAGGCAATGTTATTTGGAGCAAAATAGGTAACTCTAAAAAAATTACCTTTTTGTAAGTAATTTTGGTCGATTTTTTTTAACTAATAGGTAAAAAAATTACCTTGAAAGGTAATTATTATTAATTATTGATAACCTATTTCAAGGTAACTTTTAAGGGTTATTTTTTTCACTTCGTTTTTACATATATTTATTATTTTCTTTTGTTATATGGTATGTGTCTGATGTTCTCTTGGGGTTACTATATGTATGGGTTTACTTCATGTATTTTGACAGGGTCTCATGTTTTTCCCTTGGCGCTTGGATTGGATCAAATGATTTGATCATGGGTAGTGTTTGTGTCACTGACAAAATTTATGAAACAACAGCATAGCAAAAATGAGGAAAAGTCAGAAAAGGCATGAAACAAGATTATGGCAATAATGAACCAGTCATACTTGGCATGAAGCATTGTCCAAGCATGCATTCTGTCTTTGAAAGCTCAGTGAAGGCATCCTTCAAAGTATCATTGATTTTTGGTCTCTCTTGTCTCTACCCAGTCGCTCCTGAACCACTTTGGTTTCTTTGATGTCATGCTGCACACTTGCCCAGCTCAGTTTAACAGGAGCATCAGAAATCGCTTTTGCCAATGCTGAGGATGAAGTAACCACAGCTGGTGTAGAGGAAGCACTGCTACCACTACCACAACCACCACTACCACCACAACTAGCTCCAGTGCCAAACTGGCTCCAGGGCCTGCTCGACATGAATTGGCTCACCTGCGAACTCTCATCCTTGGTGAGGTTGGCTTGGCCACCATGCAAGACTATGGCAGGGCACAATGGCTGTGGCTATTGTCTTGACATGATAGTAACCATCTTTCTGATAGACATCACCTCGTCTTTCTGCATCATTCAAAGCTTGCTGGTTTCCCTGGATTTTGTCCACAACCTAAGCCAACCCAGTAATCTGAGATTTGCTGCAAATCTCAGAGTTCTTCTTGAAAACTTCGAACACTGGGTATTTCCAGGAGCAAACACAGACTCGCCTCTGGTGTTCAAGAGAATTCTTGGAGCCCTCTTCTTCATAGAGCTGCTGAAGATCTTCTGGCACCTGGCCACTTTTGATCATTCTGGCACATTTCCTTACCTTGGGGTAGCTTCGATGCTCATCATCAGCAACTGTTGCATCCTCCTCTTTAGGCTCCTCATCTTCTCCTTCTGCATGGTCATCAGGAACTGGCTCATCCCTGGTCTTCTTCCATCCTGCTGCCATCTCCTTGACAGTCTTCGCTTTGGCCTTGGCTTTCGCCTTCAGCTGCATCAGGTCTTGTCAGGATTTCTTCATTGTGCTCTTGGCTTTTGCCTTTTGAGCTTTCATTGGCGAAGAAGTAACCCCAGGAGCTTTGCTGGCAGCAGCCTTGGCTTTACCTGCTGCCTTTGCCTTGACTTTAGATTTTGCTTTCACCTTGGCTTTGGCCTTTGCCTTGGGTGCTGCAGTATCTAAGAATCTAAGTCAGCTCATGGGGCAGTTTCTTCTGGAGAAGCCTGTTCTACAGATTCTGGTGCTGGTTCAGGTGGAGGCAACATGCAAGCATAGCATCAGGTGGACAAGCAGGCCTCTTCATGAGGTTACCAACAGGGGCGACAAGTGACAAGTAACTTCAATCTTGAGCACCAGTGTGCTACACAGATGGTATATGCAATTGGGGATGTCTCAAAATAGGGGGCCCCAAGCCCTTGTTTTTTAGTGTGCAAAACAGAGCTTTGGGGCCCTCCTATTTTGAGACATCCCTAAGTGTACACTTGATGTAAATTCCAGCCTTTCACCAAAAGTAACTCCAGGAAGAACATGTTTTGCCCATGATGATGTCAGAAAAGCTTACAACAGAAATACCAAAGACCTTGTGAATGTATCAATCAACAAATGTGATATCTATACTTCACAATGGATGTTGCATGGCTTTGTCATTTTCATTGAACAAAACTTAAAAAAGTAGAACTGGAGATGTCTCAAAACGTTTGAAAATTGGTTCCCGAAACCGAAATCTAACATGTTCAAAAACTGGTTCCACAATGGTACCTAGGAAAATGAAAGGTGCTTTAAGCCATCTTAAGGTACCTTTCATTTTTTTGGAAAAATAAAACATTAAAGAAATAGAAATGGAGATGTCTCAAAATGTCTAGCTTTATTGCAATTTCAGTATTGTACATATCTTGTTTGTTTTGTTATTTATGTGCTGCTCTTGTCCTATGATTATTTTGATGAAACTCTAAGACGTAATGTGCCTAAATATCACTGTGTCTATATATCTATATATCTTTATATATATATATATTTAAATATATATATATATATAGGTATGCATTAATACACATGTATTCAGGTGGTGTGGTGTTATTAGTCATTAGTTGGCTTGGGGTTACAGTTTTGCAAACCACACCCATTGCATGCCAACCAACCCTATAAGGTACCTTGTAAAATGAAAGGTGCTTTAAGCCATCTTAAGGTACCGTTTATTTTTTGGAAAAATAAAACATTAAAGAAATAGAAATGGGAATGTCTCAAAAATGTCTAGTGCAAATATCTGATTATAGTTTCTGTATTGTACATGTGTTTTGTCTTTTCTTATTTATGTACGTTCACCTAATGTAATTTCTCTTGCCCTAAAATTTTTTGATGACACTTTAAGGCATAATGTGACATAATGTACCCAAATACTAATGTAGAGGTATATGTGTATTCATGTGGTGTGGGGTTATTATTTGGCTTGGGGTTACTGTTTGCAAACTAAACCCATTGCATGCCAACCAACCCTAGTAGGTACTTTGTAAAATAAAAAGGTGCTTTAAGCCCTCCCAAGGTACCTTTTCATTTTTGGGAAAAATAAAACAAATAAACATATAGATGTCTCAAAATGCCTAAGGCAAATGTTTGATTACAATTTCAGTATTGTACATGTGTTTGTTGGTGTTTTTTTTAATGTATGTTCACCTAATTTAGTTGCTCTTGTCCTAGGATTTTTTGATGCAACTTCAAGACATCATGTACCCAAATACTACTGTGGATATATATATATATTATATGTGTATTCATTTGGTGTGGGGTTACTGCATTGCAAACCAAAACCATTGCATGACAACCAACCTATGTTTGGGGTTTCTATTTTGGAAACACACAGCATTCAATCAAACACAAACCATGGTTGGTACTACATGTTTATCTAAAAACCAGGCAACAATAACCTTCGTTTTTTATTTGATTTTTTTAAATGATAAAAACACTTACAAAGAATAGTAATCCATATTTGGGGTTACTTCTTTTAAAATGATCCCAGCAATAGATCCCTATGTTGTTTTTATTTTTTCAACCAGTAACATACATGAAACCTATTTTCTTCTTAAAAACAACATTTTTTGAAATGAAACACTCATTTTTTTAACAAACAAACATGGTTTTCAAGAAAATAAACACTATTTTTTTCAAAAAAACAAGTTTTCTCTATATTTTTTTTACTGCCCTGAAAGTTTGTTGCAAACTTTCAGTCAAACTTTCAGGGGGGGTTGCAAGTTTGACTGAAAACTTGTTTTTTAAAAAAAAATAGTGGTTATTTTCTTGAAAACCATGTTTGTTTGTTTAAAAAAAATGAGTGTTTCATTTCAAAAAATGTTGTTTTTAAGAAGAAAATAGGTTTCATGTATGTTACTGGTTGAAAAAATAAAAACAACATAGGGATCTATTGTTGGGATCATTTTAAAAGAAGTAACCCCAAATATGGATTACTATTCTTTGTAAGTGTTTTTTATCATTAAAAAAAACAACCAGTGGTTGTTTTTTTGTGCAAATTGTTTTGGCATGTTACACCCACCATGTCTAAATGTGTTTTAAAAAGTAACCCAAAACATGGTTTGGTTGTCATGCATTGGTTTTGGTTTGCAATGCAGTAACCCCAAACCAAATTATAACCCCACACCAAATGAATACACATATAATATATATATATATATATCCACAGTAGTATTTGGGTACATGATGTCTTGAAGTTGCATCAAAAAAATCCTAGGACAAGAGCAACTAAATTAGGTGAACATACATTAAAAAAAAAACACCAACAAACACATGTACAATACTGAAATTGTAATCAAACATTTGCCTTAGGCATTTTGAGACATCTATATGTTTATTTGTTTTGTGATTTCCCAAAAAATGAAAAGGTACCTTAAGGGGGCTTAAAGCACCTTTTTATTTTACAAAGTACCTAATAGGGTTGGTTGGCATGCAATGGGTTTTGTTTGAAAACAGTAGCCCCAAGCCAAATAATAACCCCACACCACATGAATACACATATACCTCCACATTAGTATGTGGGTACATTATGTCACATTATGCCTTAAAGTGTCATCAAAAAAACATAGGGCAAGAGCAATTACATTAGGTGAACATACATAAATAAGAAAAGAAAAACCACATGTACAATACAGAAACTATAATCAAATATTTTCATTACACATTTTTGGGGCATTCCCATTTTTATTTTTTGTTTTATTTTGCTAAAAATAAAAAAAGTTCCTTAAGGGGGGTTTTAAGCACCTTTGATTTTACAAAGTACCTAATAGGGTTGGTTGGCATGCAATGGGTTTGGTTTGCAAAACTGTAACCGAACCCCAAGCCAACCAATAACACCACACCAAATGAATACACATATATCTCTACATTAGTATTTGGGTACATGATGCCTTAAAGTTTCAAAAAAAACTAGGACAAGAGCAAGTACATTAGGTGAACATACATAAATAAAACAAAAAGCCACATGTACAATACTGAAACTGTAATATGTTTTTTTGCCACATATACCACCACTGATTATTTATTGGATACATATATATATATACATACTGTGTACATATATATTTATACTATTTATTTGTTCAATTATTGTTTTTGCTATTCATTCTTTATATATATATATGTTTTATTTTTCTAATTATATATTTGTTTATCTTGTTAATGTTTTTGAACACGAACCATTTCTTAAAGTCGCAGCATATCTTTAAGTATTGTTTTCCATTATTGCATGCATAGGACAAATATTCATATCACAAAAACATATTACCATCCAAAAATAAGAAAATCTCATGCAACACCTTTTGTGAATGATAAATAGCACCATGGTTGGTTGATACATGCACAAGGTCTTTGGTATGTGGGCTACTTTTTGGTGAAAGGTTGGAAAATATGTCAAGTGTACAAGTGCATGTACCATCCATGTAGCACACTGGTGCTCAAGATTGAAGTTACTTGTCACTTGTCGCCCCTGTTGGTAACCTCATGAAGAGGCCTGTCCACCTGATGCTATGCTTGCTTTTGCCTCCACCTGAACCAGCACCAGAATCTGTAGAACAGGCTTCTCCAGAAGAAGCTGCCCCATGAGCTGACTTAGATTCTTAGATACTGCAGCACCCAAGGCAAAGGCCAAAGCCAAGGTGAAAGCAAAATCTAAAGCCAAGGCAAAGGCAGCAGGTAAAGCCAAGGCTGCTGCCAGCAAAGCTCCTGGGGTTACTTCTTCGCCAATGAAAGCTCAAAAGGCAAAAGCCAAGAGCACAATGAAGAAAATCCTGAAAAGACCTGATGCAGCTGAAGGCGAAAGCCAAGGCCAAAGCGAAGACTGGCAAGAAGATGGCAGCAGGATGGAAGAAGACCAGGGATGAGCCAGTTCCTGATGACCATGCAGAAGGAGAAGATGAGGAGCCTAAAGAGGAGGATGCAACAGTTGCTGATGATGAGCATCGAAGCTACCCCAAGGTAAGGAAATGCACCAGAATGATCAAAAGTGGCCAGGTGCCAGAAGATCTTCAGCAGCTCTATGAAGAGGGCTCCAAGAATTCTCTCCCCCAAGGTTATTTAAGAGTCAATTCATCAACAAAGTCTTTCAGCAGAACACCAGTGGCGAGTTTGCTTTTGCTCCTGGAAATACCCAGTGCGAGGTTTTCAAGAAGAACTTTGAGATTTGTACCAACAAATCTCAGGTTACTGGGTTGCCTCACTCCATCATGTCGTGGAAAAATTCCAGTGAAACCAGCAAGCTTTGAATGAGCAGAAAGACGAGGTGATGTCTATCAGAAAGATGGTTACTATCATGTCAGGACAATAGCCACAGCCATTGAGAAGAAGCAGGGCAGTTCCATGGTCTTGCATGGTGGCCAAGCCAACATCACCAAGGATGAGTTATTCGCAGATGAGTCAATTCATGTCGAGCAGGCCCTGGAGCCAGCTTGGCACTGGAGCTAGTTGTGGTGGTAGTGGTAGTGGTAGTTGTGGTAGTGGTAGCAGTGCTTCCTCTACACCAGCTGTGGCTACTTCATCCTCAGCATTGCCAAAAGCGATTTGTGATGCTCCTATGAAACTGAGCAGGGCAAGTGCTCCCAGGAGCGACTGGGCAGAGATTGTCAAAGACCGGCTGTCATTTTTTTTTGACAAGAAAGACCAAAAACTAAATTATACTTTGATGGATGTCCTCACCGAGCTTTCAAAGACAGAATGTATGCTTCGGGTTACTTCATTGTAGCTTTGATGTTGTATAACATATCTTCAAAACATCCAATCAGATTTGATCTTCACAAATAAAAACTTTGATTTGCTCAAACAAGTATAAGTTCAAACAATATAGTTTTTTTGCACTTCCAGTAATCATGTAGAACTGACTTCACACAAAATCAAGAAACATATTGTTAAACAACTTTTCAAACAATTGATAATATTCACTTTACTATGGTACAATGTTAAGAAAATGTCAAAATTCATTATCTTTTTTCCATGAAAAAAATGCAAAATTTCAAGGTATTTTTTTTTAATCCTCAAAAATTACCTTGATAGGAACCTTTAAAAATTAACTATGTAGTTAAAAAAATTAACTATTTGTTTTCCTTAAAAATTACCTATTAGGTAGAAAATTGCCTCCAAAATCACTTTTACCTATTTTGCTCCAAATAACCTTGCCTGACCTATTGGGTACGACAAAGCTCCATGCTAAGCTTTTGGAGGGTGGAAATTCGACCGGGGTACGACAAAGCTCCATGCTAGGATTTTGGAGGGTGGAAATTCGACCGGGGTACGACAAAGCTCCATGCTAGGATTCTAAGGGGACAGGGTGTGCAGAAAAAGAAACCAGACATGTTCACTGTCGGAAGCTCAACAAGCGCAACTTTTGTCCTACCAGTGTATATATATATACATTTATTGTTGAGAAGGTTTAACCAGATGTTTTTTAGGTTCAATTCCGCATGGATCATTTTGCAAGCAAAACCAGCCACATCACCATTTCTGGATGTGAAATGCATCATTACCCTTTGGTAAACATATGTAAACATACAAAAAAATCATGCAACATCATCATGTTGAATGGGTAAATCAATTATTTCATACCATGTCTACGGCCGTTTTCAATGGCAAACTGTTAGGTTACCAGGCCGGGTATCCCCCATGTAGATGGAATTTCAATGGCTTATCTCTCTACACATCTCCCCATGGATTCCCAATGGGTGATACCGTTCATCCTCGCAAGATCTCTGTGCGACTGAGGATTCAGAGTCTCATCATGACCATGGAAGATGGATTCAATGCACCTGGGAAAAAACAGGTGGCACCTGGTGGATTGAATGGGCCATAGATATCCATCCATGAGGAGTGTCACCATTTTCAAACCCATGTTTTCCATTGAAATGAAGGGGAAACCCATAGGATCCTTTTCATGTTGTCCCATATGCCTTTTGCACCGTGACGCCGTTGATTCCCATATTTATGACGGATGATTCCCATCATGAAACCATTCATTTGACTTTTTTGCGTGGCAAATGGTGCTAAGGCAGTATGAGAATGTATGTATTTGCATTGAATCATCCTCAGCATTTCATAGAAGCAACGCCCAGCACCTAGTTTTCAACATCGATCAACCCCCGAGATGGTTATGACATTCACAGTTCGCCATGGTATAGATGGCCCATAGAAATAGATGGTTTACCTGGTTTACCGAACTTAATAGCATGGTGATGTTCCTTGGCGAACTGTTAAATAACCAGATGGTACTTGTTCTTCTTCCAACCTCTTTTTCTCCTTGGCTATTGGGTAGGTTTTGTTGCTTGCTACTATAGCCCATTGTTCTTGCCGGGGATTTCCATGGTTCTTCCATCCCATTCCTATTTTTATTGGTAACTATCCCCATTTTCCCATTAAAATTCTGCTTGGTAGCTCTCCCCATTTTGGTCGGTTTCCCATTTCTGCAAAATCCACTATCCGCGGGTTCAATGGATACAGTATGGGTCGATGCCCATGTGTCATGCTCGTGGTGAGGCAACGTTGAACTTTGAGGGCTCCGGGTTCGTGTTGGCTTATTTGTCACTTGGACATTGCCTGAGTAGTGGAGATGGCAAGGTTGTATTTCCATTTATCTGCATATACATGTAGAATGTGAATGTGATACGGATAAATGTACATATAAAATATGCGTCATTATATGTATGCAGTTGTGTACATGTAATTTACACGCTCTATGGATACATGAATTAATGTACTGTATATGCGTGTGTTTGTGTGTCATAGTTGGGTTTCAATTCGGACTCAAGTTTGTTCTATCAGACTCTATCAACAAGTTTGTTCTATCAAGGTATGTTCTTACAAGTATTGTGCAGAATGTTGAGGGATGATCTCCTTCGTGTTACAAAAAATCCCAAAATCGCTTGGATGACGCATTGCCGTTTAACCATGTAAAAATCACCCACGGGGGGACATATTCTTCAAGATATTCCCATTGCTGGTGAATTGATCATGTCATTGAACAGGGTTTGGTAAATGTGCCATGACTTGGGGATTTTAAACATCACTTTCAAGTATCGGTTGGAGATTATATTCCCAATATTTGGGTGATATTCGATTAGGACATTTACCAGCCCCTGTTGAATCCAGTTGCTATATTCATATATATTATTATATGTTTGTTGCTTCTTGAATGTTATTGATTTCCCTATTCCACCCATTGTGGAGAAATGTGTATCATCATATTCCCATAGAATATCCACCAATGATTCATCATCATATTGCCACTTGGTTGTATTCAGATTATTGTTGGTTATTCCACTTATTGGCATTTGTTGGCTGTCATTTCCATCATTTTGCACAATACAAACATATCATCGCGATATTCCGTTACAGGCTATCATTGTTAATGTTCAACACTCATAAGATATTATCTATGTATATATATAATTATATATGTATATTCCATATGTGTTTCCATCATTGTTTGATATGTTTAGTTTATGACTATATATAATCCGCCGGGTGTCCCTGTAATTTGAACAGAATGTTCACGGATCATCAACGAGGTATACGATCATTTCCATGATGGTCTCCTTAGTGATGCTGGACGTGTGGCCCCTTGGTCGGTTTATGTTGGTGAAGGTGCAGAAATTTGGGAAGGATGGGATGATGTCAAATGACCCCCTTTTTGTGAAGGTTCGTGAATGGGATGGTTCAAAATGACAGTTGAATGCACATCGAAATTTGGGTGATTTCTTGGACACAAAAAAATGACCACCATGAAAACAAGAGTTGGATGATGTGAAAGTCCAATTCACCCCAACAAAAATGTGGTCGATTTCCTTAGTTCGACCAGTATGTTTGAATGTATTTGAGTCGATAGCTCTGAAGTATTTCAATGCGCTGCTCCAGGTATGGTGAGGTGCTTCCATGGTCCTGTTGCCCCATGTTTTTGGTGCCTCGCAATCTCTTCAGCCAAGTTCCTCGGATTTCGGATTCCGGATTCCGGTCCTGGGATGGGGAATCCAAGAAAACCGGTGGGTACGTCGTTGAGGGGTTGTTACCCTCCGGTAATCTATGGTTAATCTATGGTTAATCTATGGTTAATATATGGATAATCTATGGTTAATGGTTAATAGTTACCCTCTGGTAAACAAACAGTTAGCTATTGAACAGGGCCCAGAGAAATAGTTGATTTGACCATTGTTTCAATGGTGATTTTCGATAGTTATGTAAACGTTTACCAGAGGGTAAATGTCCGAATTGTTCACATCACCCAGCTATTTCAACGTAGCAAAACAGTTCAATTTGCCATGGTGAAACTATTGACAGTTGAGACTTCAGGGTTCACATTCTCATGGTGTTTTGGAACGAGTTCCTATGGTAAACAGGCGTGTTTAATGCTGGGTATGGAATTTTTGTCTAAGTGCATACTGTGAAATTTGGCAAAGAACCCCCATGAATGTTGGTGACCCAGCAGGAACATCCGATACTTTTCGCTTGTTTTAGTCTGTTGGAGGCAGTTGGTGCGTTGTCTCCCCTTTATTTTTCCAATTCCCCGACCCGATCCTATATCCGGGTGTGTCGAGAGTATAATGGCCCCAAGCAGATTGACAAAAGATAGAAGGTCAAGTTTACCAACTACCAAGTAGTATGTTGGGGTATCTCTGTTCGACTTGATTTACCAACTACCAATTCCAACTAGTTGTTTACCATGTATGTTAGAGTCTGATTTTGCGACTACCAACTCGTCGTATCTCTGTTTTGGGGGTTGCTACAACCATCAACCACCAGTCACCGTGTGAGTCAAACATAATCTAATGCCATTAGTCAAAGATAACCTGATTGGTGGTTTGGAACGTTTAATATTTTTCATATATTGGGAATAATAATTCCGACTGACTTCATATTTTTCAGAGGGGTTGAAACCACCAACCAGTATATATATATATATGTAGATATATATATAATTCCATTGATAACCATAAATCTAGATAAACTATACTGACCTTACTGCGACGTCGCGGTTAGTCACAGTTTCGCCAGGGCCATCATGGCCTGATTCCTGGTGCACATCTGGGGTGATCACAATTGATCCAGGATAGACACGAATTTGCCATGACTGACCATCAATCCATTTAAACTAGCCACAAAATAAGCATCAATCACAATGAGTTCAATCACCCCATTTACCCTTTGGATCCTTTGGTAGTCAAAAAAAATGCAATGGGCATTTTCACATTTGTAGATGTTTCCCTAGAGGATTTCCTTCCAAATTGCCACATTTGATGACCGGATGGTAATATCCCAGATCAGTAACTCGTTATATCCCAATGATATCCTAAAATATCCCAATTCAATCCCTCATTATTAACCATCTAAATCTATATCCATCTATTAACAATTGGATTCTAATATCCCATTAATATATCCAAATGATCCCCCGAAGAGTGTATTAAATCACCTATAAATCACAAAAATCACCATCGTTCTTGGCTAAATCCCATTAAATCATCATTAAATCCCATGAAATTACCATAAAATCTCAGAAATCACCATTCAATTCCATAAAACCCATATTTTCCCATCATTTCTAGTTGCTTTGCATCCCACACATGCCACATGTCGCAGCGCTTTAACGTTGCGCTTTCAACGCGAGGACATGCCCCGCTGGTGGACCATGACGGGACGCCCCGATCAACGCAATGCGGGCTATATGGATCCGCTGATGTTCCCTGGAAAAAAACTGAAAGGTGAAAAATGATATGACTATCATAGGATTCTAACTAGTATAGTTAATGGTTGTACTATAGTTAATGATTAATAGTTGTGCTATAGTTAATGATTAATAGTTGTACTATAGTCAATGATTAATAGTTCTATAGTTAAGTTTTATTTTTACATATATTGGGAATAATGATTCCAATCGTTCAATCGACTAATATTTTTCAGGGGGGTTGAAACCACCAACCAGATTATATAGTTAATGATATTCATCATGATAGTGTAGTATTACACTATAATGATAATGATATAGTTATTTAATATTAGTTAGTTAACTATAGTTAAAAATGATAGTCTATCCGTTAATGATTAATAGTAAATGATGAATAGTTGTACTATAGTTAATGATATGCCTATCATAGGATTCTAACTATCCTAGGGGTATTCTAACTAGGTATCATAGGGTATATTCTAACTATCATAGGTATCATAGAATTCTAACTAGTAAAGTAAATGATTAATAGTTGTACTAAAGTTACTGATATAGTTAATGATGATATAGTTACAAGGTGTTAATGAGTAGTAAACTAGATTCATACTATAGTTGTACTATACATTAGTTAATACACTAGTTCAATATGATAGTTAATGATTATATAGTTTATGATATTCACCATGATAGTATACTATTACACTACAATGATAGTTAACGATTAATAGTAAATAATTAATAGTTGTACTATAGTTACTGATATAATGTTAAGTTTTATTTTTACATATATTGGGAATAATGACTCATATAGTTAATGATGATCATCATGATAGTATACTATTACACTTTAATGATAGTTAATGATTCCTAGTAAATGATTAATAGTTGTACTATAGTTAATGATATGACTATCATAGGATTCTAACTATCCTAGGGGTATTCTAACTATCATAGGATTATAGCCTCCATCAAGTTGGGATATGCCATAGTTAATGATTATATAGTTAATGATATTCATCATGACAGTATTCTATTACACTATAATGATAGTTAATAATTATGCAATATGATTAAAAGTTACCCTCCAGCAAATTAACATAGACCCTGCCAGACAGAGGTTGGAAGATTAGCTTCCCCTAAAAATTGGTCAATTTCAGAGTCTATGTTAATTTAACAGAGGGTAATGATTATATACTAGTGTCATAGTTATACTATCTACTAGTGCCATAGTTAACGATACTAGAATCCTAATATCATACTATGGATCCATATTTCATATATAGACCTAATATACTATGGATACTATGGACTCATATACCATGTTAGTTATCCACTAGATGTCTTAATCCCATTGGCAAATAATAGATGTTAGTTAAGAATAGATACCATGAGTAATAGGTACCATCAATATTCATGGTTAGTGGATGAGAGTGAAAAATATAAGATGTATATGGATCCCATGATAAGATTCCTTTTATCCATGTGGTATATTGATCAATGATAGTATTTTTAAACCATAAATTATAGATGATCTTAATCCCATTAGTGAATAATATATGCTAGTGATCTAATAGATGTTATATGATATAATATCCACTAGCCACATTATGATATACCATGTTAACATCTATTCGTGAATAATTCTATGTTCATAGTTCATACCATGAATAATAGATGTTAAACATATACCACTATAGGATCCATATAGCATGATAGCAATAGATGTTTATCTGGTTGGTGGTTTGGAACATGACTGGATTATTTTATCCATATATTGGGAATGTCATCATCCCAACTGACGAATTCATATTTTTCAGAGGGGTAGGTACACCACCAACCAGTTACGAATATCCCAATTATGTGATGTTTCAACACCAAAACGGATCCACCATCCCGAACGATAAAAATCACCATTTTGATGGCTGGGATTGTGGCACCGACAACATCACCTTCTGAATAAAGTGGTATAAATACATATATATATATATATGGGTGGTTTATGACATTGCTGTACTCAAGAGGAATCTAAATTGAATCTGACCTCTTTTTTGGAGTAGTGAGACGTGTCAATAGTTAATGGTAGGTTGATTGATTTCCCACCATCTCCAGGGGGATTCGTCATGGATGAAAAAAGGGGCTACCTCAGATCCCTGCATGGGTTGGATTTCTGTTTCTATGATGTGATGGTTGGTGGTTAATAATGATGGTTAATAGTGGTTAATAGGCTATAAACCAACAACAATGGGAATATGATGGTGATCTGGTTGGTGGTGACTGGTTGCCATGACTGGATTTTGACTTTCCAGAAACAGTTGGGAATGGAATGTCATCATCCCAACTGACTTTAACTCCATCATTTTTCAGAGGGGTAGGTACACCACCAACCAGTGATTTTTCTGAGTCCACAGGGCCCATTGATCCCAGGTATTCTCCTGTGAGTACCAAGCACTACATGCCCGAAGAGGACATGTTTTTCGGGGTGTGTGGTACCCCAGAAAGATGGAACTAGTTGCCCTGGGCGCTGCAGGGCGCCTGGGTGTTTTGTTTTTGGTTATTCCCCACCTGCCAGGTGAGGGTTGTTAGATTTTATCTAAGTTGCCTGGTCCTCCTCCTCCTCCTCCTCGTCCTGCCGCCTCCTCCTCCTCCTCCTGCCGCCTCCTCCTCTCCTCCTCCTCTCGTTGTCCTCCTCCTCTCGTTGTCCTCCTCGTCCTCCTGCTCAACTGCGACTCGCGATCCACAGTGTTCTCTGTCGGACCTCAACCACGACCATCCACGCCCAGTGTTCCCTGCCGGACCTCAACCACGACCATCCACGCCAGTGTTCCCTGCCGGACCTCAACCGCGGTATCCACGCCCAGTGTTCCCTGCCGGACCTCAACCACGACCATCCCCGCCCAGTGTTCCCTGCCGGACCTCAACCACGACCATCCACGCCCAGTGTTCCCTGCCGGACCTCAACGCCCAGTGTTCCCTGCCGGACCTCAACCGCGAGTATCCACGCCAAAAGATATGCCACATAGAGTGCCAGAAGATATGCCAGATAGAATGTTAGAAGATATGCCAGATAGAATGCCAGAAGGTATGCCAGATAGAATGCCAGATAGAATGTCAGCTAGAATGCCAGAAGATATGCCAGATAAAGTGCCAGAATGTTTGCCAGATAGAATGCCAGCAGATTTGCCAGATAATATGCCAGAAGATATGCTAGATAGAATGCCAGATGGAATGCCAGAAGATTTGCCAGATAATATGCCAGAAGATATGCCAGATAGAATGCCATATGGAATGCCAGAAGATATGCCAGAACATATGCCAGAAGATATGCCAGAAGATATGCCAGAACATCTGCCAGAAGATATGCCAGGTAGAATGCCAGAAGATGTGCCAGATAGAATGCCAGATCGAATACCAGAAAATATGTCAGATAGAATGCCAGAAGATTTGCCAGTAACAAAATGTAATGTCATGGTGAGGATCACACGAAGTAAAGTATTTTTTTTGGATGATGGCCTGGGTTGGGGTGGGGTGGGGTGCGATGTTAGCGTTCATGTGACGTTGGTCAGTGGAACACAGACCATTGATTCAGATTGGAAATCGTTGAAGTGCTGGCTTCCCAAGGAAGCTTCCAAAAAAAGAGGCACTGGTGACTTGGTGACCCACTCCTCAAAATTGGAGCAAAGGGTCTGGTAATGGATGTGGCGCAGAACCGAACTGCGCGGCAATAATTCAGAGAAACTTGCAGCTAATTGTTCAATGGTTGAAGTAGTTCTCAGGACGTCCAAAAACAGGCGTGCAACACTGCATAGGCAATTCCAATGGGAAATTCACGCACACGCCCTCAAAACCACCAGGCGCCTAGCAGCGCCGTTCCCAACTAGTTGGCTCTTGATTTGGAGGTTTCGATTTGAATAGCGGATCCCCAAGTCACCATAGGTTTCAATACTAATTCATGGTCTAATGGCTTGGATGATTTTGGGGGTAGCCGGGTAGCCCTGCTTTAGGACAGCACCACTTTGCAAAATGTTGATGGGTATCCTTTTTTTTCGTGAGTTAAAAACCATCGTGAAATCAATTCTGTAAACTCTGGGCGGGCGCAGCTTCGTAGTTTGTGAGTTTGCCGGTGGGCATACACAATCTCAAACACCTGAAAGAGCAATGTGTTGAGGTCATAGTTTCGAAATGTCTCAAGTGTTCATTTTCTATCTTAAAAACCTTTTTGCCGATTAGTTATGGAATTGAACAACTTACTAAAGGTTGTGTGCATAACCCAAGTCCGGAGAAGTACCTGACAGACATGGCGGGGGTCATGCCCGGTTTCTTGCCACATAGATGAGCAGGTTGCTTCCATTTTCATTTACAAAACACATGTTTGCCGAACATCTGTGGTTGCCAATAAAAACCAAGTCTATTCAGAGACATTCGGCCTGGAAATTTGGATATGAATCTATATAAAAAATCAACATAATATATCATAATATAATAAATCAATATATATATATATATTTACATATAGATAAATCAATATAAATCAATATAAATCAATTTAAATCAATTTAAATCAATATAAATCAATATAAATAAAAGTCATAAATCCTGACACTGAAAACAAACGTCCGGTCACCTTGGGAGGACTTGCAGAAATATCCCTACAAAGTGTGCCTGGGGCCGGAGCGATAGGCATGGGGATTGATCTACCACAGCAAATTGCGCTGGTGGTTTTGTTGAGTAAAAAATCATGTTTTTAGTGGTTTAATTCGGTTTAACCAATTAACCATTTATAGATGTAGTCTATGTATTACCATTTTTGTTTGTATGTCTAACATCTATGCAACAAAGACATGGGACTTGTTTCAGCTGTTTACCAATTTTGCTGATGTATGTTTTGGAACAGTTTCAAACTTATGCAAATTTGACAAACAAATCTGATGGACTTAGAGTGCCCTGGGCCAAGAAGATGTACAGCAACCGCCAACGGACCCAACGTGGCAAATGGCAGATTGTTTCTTTCGCGGTTTCACCAAAATGGCCATTCAAAACGGAGATGTTGA